AGATTTTCCCACTAAAAGTCTGAATTGTTTTTTTCCATTTTGCCCAGCTTTGCCATAAGACTCATTTACTATTGGSTATTTGGATCATTCTCAATTTTCTTCTTGAATAATGGTGTATTTGACACTGTTCTTCTATTATTCTTCCTTTGTTGGGACAATTAGGAGGTTTTTTCAGCTTTAGATATCAAAAGATCACCAAAAAAAGCAATGAAATCGAAAATTACTGCCTGTAACTAATACTGTTTAAATACCCTGACTCTTTCAATTACTTTTAAAAAGCACTTCACAAACTTCCTTCTTTTTAAACACACACTAAATCRTCTTCTCTTTGTTATGCAATTATCTTGGCAATACCAAATGGGAGCACATAAACAAGAAAAGGAACTTATGTCACAGAATTGTATATATTTAAACTTAGTAGATTAGTCAATTTCTTTTAGTCAGTAGAATGCAAAACTCACTTCTAAAACATGATTTATACACAAAGTGACAATGTCATAGATGCACAGCTATTCCATCATCTGAGATTTGGGTGGGGGGGGGAACAAAACCCAAAATTGACATCAACAGGAGATGTTGATTAAAAAAAAAAATCATACAACAAATATTTGGAAATAGGTTAAAAACATATAAATTCTAACCCCATTTTATAGGCTTTCTTTTTCTGAAAAGTTTCTCTCTTCACACTTCTGCTTCAAGACTAATGAATTAATGAAAATAGCAATGTTAATGTATTACAACTACTATAAAGTACACCAGAAGTTCCAGAGTAATAAAGTACCTACAGAGTTGTAAATCTAAGATAAATGAGGTTATCTAGAGCTAGAATCCTAGACTCTCAGGCAATAGGAAACTTAAAAATTGTGATCAAGAAATAAAGCAGATTGTTTGAGTTAGCAGTCTCTGAAAGAGATATTCTTACAATGTAAAACAGCTGTTTAGAAAAGAGGGCAAGAAAAGATCTGGCATATCACCACAATAAATTGAAGTGTGGTATGTTAACATACTACCTTCTTCACTTTAGCTCGTGTTTCTATTTAGTAGAACCTGAAGGAAAGATCACACAGATTTTGCCTAAGCTTCCTCTGATATGAAGTGAAGTAACATCTGAAAATAGTTTTGGAAAATAACATTAGTCATCACTCATTGTCTGTCTCCATAAGTGTGAACAGCTGATATCACAATCCTGGTAAATCAGTCAAGTGAGTTAAAYAGACCTTACACATCCTTACGTATTAGCAAATAAGAATGGCAAACTATTACTAAATTAACAGCATAGGTCTAGACCAAACGGCTTKGCAGATGACTGATTGTTAATTTGCAAGCTGGAGCAAGCTCTGTGCAAAGAAAAAGAGCAACGTTAAGCAAAGACTCAACTCTCCTCTCAGGAAGGAAGACAAAGACCATTATTTGMTCTTTGAGGAAGTGCTGGAGCAAAATTGTCACAGATATGCCACTAATAACCAGGTCAGGAGAGATGCTGTGCTCAGGGTGGAGTAGAGGGTGAGGGAAAACAGAGATGGGACAAAGAGCATAGCAAGGAAAAATAACAAAATCCAAACAAAAACCACAAACCAAAATACACACAAAAAATCCCCACCCACAATGTTTGAACTCACAAGGGCTCAAAAACCTTGCCCAAGAAGTCCAATACTACCATGACAACTAATGGCATTACAGTAGAAGTTTCAGTTCTACAAAGTTATACGTTATCCAAATGTAACAACAATCAGCTCCTACTTATATGCAAGATTACAGCAGATGGTCATTTTAGATGACAAACATAGGTTTAAGACCAGAAAAGCAGCAGCATCTTGTGCCTTTATTGAGCCTTCCACCTGACATCCTTTAAAAGAATAACAGCTAGTCCTCCAGTTAGTGAGGCTCCTCAGAAGAGTAACTAGGATAAGCAAAACAATGTTTGGATTGTGGGCCTCATGGGTCAAGGGAAATAAACCCAGGGGAGCCCTGGTTTTCCATCTTGCCAATATCAAGACACCGCAGGGCTTTAACACTAAAGCAAATGTTAAATTTCTGAGAAAGCTAATATTGAAACCTGCGTTTGTACTGCCTACAGTTTAGGAATAGAGAGTATCTGTTTTTTCTGAGATACTTGATCAAGCTTACAGTCTTCTCTGCTTTCACATTTACTTTTTCTAACCTCCACCCAGAAAGGAATAGGCAAACTTACCTAGCTAACCTTAGTGTTTCTACTATATTCATGTTGAATATTTGCACATGTTCAGCTGTAAGAAGCAGCCATACTCACATACTTTCTCTTATTGAGATAAGCTTTTCTATGTGTCTTCCAAAACAGGAGCATTGTTAAAATTCAGTCTGTGAGATTATGATCTCAAATAAAATTCCCTCCACAGTCCCTTCATGGTTTTCAAAGACATTCTGTATTTTTCTCAGCCTTGGGAACTGTGAGTAAATGGACTTTCCTCATTTGTTTTTACCACAGTTGTGGARCTAGATCTTTGAAATAAAAGGATGATTGATTCATAGAAACATATGGCATATCTTCAACTTCTGATCATTAAAACTAATTAGTAAGTTCTAATTACCATTTAAACTCTAATTTACTGTTYATAAACTCAAGCAGGCTACTAGTTTTTTAAAAGTAACAATAGGGAAAAATTCAACAGGACAGTAGAAGCCTTATTGGCAGACATATTATTTCAAATGGCAGATGGATTGACTTCAACTTCTCCCCTGCAATTTAGGAATGGATAGCAGACACTTAGAACGGCTTCAGCTTATATGCAAGTCTTGCTTTCCAATCACCCTTACTTATTATCCTTTGTGGTTTAGTGAAGTTACAAATTATATGTGAGTAGTCTAATCTGACAGCATGTAAACATACACAGAATACTATGGCACATGTAAAAGATTTTCTTACCCTTGAAGGCCTAGCACAAATGGTTAGAAGCAGTCTCAGACCATTTTTAAAAGTAACTTTGGTATTTTACTAGTATTTGAAAAGTGTACTTTTCTGTATCGAATTTGCTTAAGAAAAGGATTATTGATATGAAATTCAAGTACCTCTGTGAGAACAAATAATGAAAACATGGACTRCTCAAAATCACACTGCCTAAGAAATAACCCAATCTATTAAAACCACCACCTTGTAATGTACATCATGAAACTTATTGACTGGTAGAAAGTCAGCAAGGTAAAAATGCTGTCAATATTGCATTACATTTTCTACTAAAATGTCAGAAATTTGTTGAGATGTCAGCTGTCTTCTCTCTGGCATAACTACCCTGACATTCAACATGATATGAAATGCTGTTCTTCAAATCTCTAATGGATAGCATGAAATCACGACTCTAAGTATATACAGAAAATGGCAATGCTTTATTAGCTAAAAAAGTGCTCTCAGAATCCACATTGTGAAATGTAATGTCAGGTTATAGGTATGCTAGGTTTCATAATACAAAACTAATCAAATCAGTAAATGCATGTACACTACAATGTCACTTCAATATTTGAATTATATTTTTAGAGAAAACCCGAGTCTTCACATTTTTCTGATAAAATATATTCTATTGTCAAGCACCCAGTTTTGTACAGAAATATGAAGTGAGAGCATATGGGAGAATGATAGAGTTGCTTAACAGAATGGGTCAGCAATACATAAAGTTAATGGAATTTCAATAGAAGTTCACTCAAGTTGTACTGTACCATATGAATCAGAAAACTAAGAATTAGTTTTCAACAATAAATCTGCCATGTCAGGGTCAACAATATCACAACCTGTTCCTGAGGCAGGTTRGATGAGGTTATTGTTAATAGATTCCTCAGGGCAGATTAGCATGATGCAACACTGAATTAATGGTGGGGTTTTGACAGACAGAAGATAGATAGAGAGACAGATAACAGGCTGATTTTTGAATAACGTGGTTGAAATGGAAAGGAAGGATGTAGCAGRTTTAGTTATTATCTATAGAAATATAGCAATATAAAGTATAATGATTACACTTGAGAAAATATACAAGGAAAAGAAAAAGGAAGGATAAGGGTAAACAGTAGAAAGGAACAATATCACCATCCTATGATTGTTGTAACTTACATCTCCAGAGGTCAAAACAATTACAATTCTGTAAGTAGTTACAATTTTGATCCATCATGGGTAGGGGAAGTCCCTGAAACCCAAAGTTCAGTGGTTTMATATATKTTCAGGTGGGAATGCCSAGCTACCTCTCCTTGAAGAAATTTTACGCCATCTCTTGTAATGCTGTGGATCATGTGCAGTCTTCTGTGGAAGGTCCCAGAAATKAATCGGGGGGCAACTCATCAGCTTTGATGGTTTATAACATCGTCTGAGACAGGACCTATTTGTCTTGCCAGTGTAGCTGAGCCAGTTTCTGCCTCAAGGGAAAGGATGAGYASCCTCAGGCCTATGTGTGAATGTCCCCCTATCTCTCTCAGGGACAGTTTTACACCTAAGCTAGTTTGTAAGGGAGGAAATTAGCATGATAAAAAGCATTATCCCACCTTGCAGGATCTGCTTCTTAGAGGTGTTTTCCTCATCAGGCTCAAACCCCAGTTTATTGCTACAAAAAGGTGGGTTTGTCATGGTCATTCTCTGGTGATGGGTGCTCATCCTCTCTGCACCTGGGCTGTTCTTATGCAGATTAGAGGTTTCATAACCACACACCCAAACACTGTTCCCTTTCCCTTTTGGTTGATGGGCACCTGTCCTAAGCAAAACACCTGCTACTTTTGACGCCAATTGCTTGTGTCATTAACCTTCAATATTTTGGTATCTCACAAACAACAAAACAAAATCCAGTGTTTCATACTTACTCAAACATGTACAGCAAGTTAATTCCTCACACTATATGTRCACAAACACAGCCTAGTTTATGCAAGGAAACATTTTCAGGACATTTTCAGGAAAGGAAAAAAAGTAGTTGACTAGTTAACAAGAGTGCACTATATACAACTACATTTAGACTGACATGATAGTCAAACCAAACAAGTATGTACAAGTGTACATTATCACCCCTATATAGAATAATCCCCTTGAGTGTGTGGTGGGTTTGCTTGTTTAGGATTTTTTGTTGTTGTCTTTTGTTGCTTATTTCAAAATAACAGACATTTTAAAAAACTACRTTTTACACAAAAATACTGATAATGGTTCACATTTTGACCACCTCAATCCTCTTCTTTCCACATTTTCTATTATCTTAGCAATATCCCCAGTAGTTTTTTGAGTAACCACATGCTGCTCAGGCTCCTTTTGCATGAGATCCATTGACAGTACACTCAGTCTRTTCCTTGATATGTTTCAAATCATTTACATGCGAAAGCTTCTGGTTCTGTGAAATGGTTGAAAAGGCTTTTTAAAGGCCCACATCAGYATTGGTGGTTTCTGTTTAGTTTTTTCAGGAAATAGCACCGCTTCAGTTTCAGGGGTAGGAAATCGTATTCTGTACACTTCAGGGTAAGTTTTCTGAAACTAGAAAAGTATATTAATTCATATTAAGAATTTGCTCAAATATGTACAATAAATTACTAAAGTGTAACTTTCACTTCTGGAGCAGGAAAATTATTTCTTTAATGGACTTTTTATGCCTCTATATAGAAAATTAAGCAATATTTTCTAGTTTGGGTTGATTCATCACATCATCCTTATTCTAAATTATTATAAATCTTGAAATCCCCAAGAGTAGCCACTATTTTAAATTTCAGTATTCCTCTAGAGTACATGTCTAAGACTTGATAAATCTTTTTAAGTTAAAATTAGAAATTGTGAAGAAATTTTTATTTACTTGCTTGAGCTTCTTCTTTTTATCTTTCACAGATATTYCTTTATTCATTACAATTTCTTCCAACAAAGCTGCCAGTGGTTCTTGAGAGCCAGCTGCCCTTTGGTATTCAAACTCATCTGTACTGATTTGGTGACAAAATGATGGAGGAGGAAGCGTTGCATCACTATCAGCCCCAGCATATTTTATCTACAGAAATAGTAAAAAAAAAACAAAAAAGAAAAAGTTAACATGTTTTCTGAAAAACCTCTCACAAACTGGCTTAATGCCTTTGAGAGGTCAATTGATTAAGTAGAGAAAATATTGAATAGAGACTCTAAACTGTACGTTCTATCTCCAGCACTAATTGAGTGAGAGTTCCAGTAAGTCAAAAAACATGACACAAAGAAAGCCTGTTCAGCTCTTGAAATAAGTTTAGTTAYTTTTCCAGTAGAAAAATAAAGACAGAACTAAAAATCAGCTTTGAACAAAAACAAAATATGGCACCAAGAAACAGAAATATGAAAAACTAAGCAAAAAAGAATGGCTCTAAAGAAAAAAAAAATCAGAACATTAATGGAAACACTATATAATTATTAAAAAAAAAAAAAAATAAATAAAAAAAAAAAAAAAAAAACAAATCAGAACATTAATGGAAACACTATATAATTATTCACAGTTTTATTCACTAAAATATCATTCAGTTTTCTTCACTAAAACAAAAGGTGTTTGCCCATTCCATGGAGAAGATAGTGCTGACAAAAAAGAAATCATATTTTAGAGTTCTTGTCTCTAAACCATTCAAGATTTGTTTAGTTTCATTTAAACACAGTTATGGTTAAGTATCAGTAGTGTCAGTATCAAAATTAATTAGTTCTTCAAAAGCTAACAGAGACAGAGCAAAGTCTTTTAAGAACTGTGGATCTTCAGAGAACAAAGGATAAATCTGATCCAGAAATAGAGACAATAGGWGGTTTTTTCACTAGATACTTACTTGGACTCTCTGGAGATGTATAACATGATCCTCTATCGAAGATTTTAAAGCAGAAGGAACACTTAAGATCTCTTGATAATTATCCATGAGGAAAGATACTAGTTTAGCAGCAAGCAGTTCATCCAAGTCTATTTCATCCTTTGAGCAGAGAATACAACGAGAAAATGCCTGAACCATCTGAAAAGAAAAACAAAACAAAACAAAAAACCAAACAATTATCATGTAGTTTTCTATTTGGAAGTGAGTAAAGAACCAGGCTACATTTAAAAAGTGATTCTTTAGAACAAATATTTAAACAATACCATACTTACTGTACTTCCAACATATCAATATTTTTAAAAAATTTATTATSTACAGTGTGAATGCACTGAAGATTGCTCCTGCCTCATACAGATAATCCTGACCTTAGATATAGAATGGATGAATTCCATTTTATTCTCATGACTTTGTCAAATAGCCACCGCACACACGGCTTATTTAGAGAGGACATATTTTAAAATAACACAGAAATTTAACAGAAATTAAGCATCAGAGGGAAAACTTACTACCACTATTCTGAAATGGCCAAATCAAGCTTCAGGTCCAGCTCACTTCATGCATACAAAAGTTTCTGTCTATGCATCAATCACTTCTAACATTAAAAACACAGAAGRCAATAAAGATTTCTGTCATGGAACATATACTATGTTGCTGAACCAAAACTTTGTACAAAATACTTGGACTAAAAAACACATTTTGATTATAACAATTATTTTAGTGAAAGACCACTTACAGTTAATGAAATTATAACCTTAGCAGTAAAAATTTCAATCAAATGCTATTCATGGTTAACTAAAAACTTAATTGTGGTGGAACAAATTTAGATTTGTGCATGCTACTATAGGATTTTTACAGAATGACTCTGCAGCGTAGTTTTCCATTACACCTAATTCTCGAAGACTTTAAAATTAGCCAAAATAAATACATGTTCCTAGTCAGCTGGAATTGCTAAGATATGCCTAAATAAGTTTGATATTAGGTGGTGTTGCAAACATCAACGATACCTCTACATGCAGCCTTACAGAAGAAGCATTAGCAAAAGCTAGACCTTACTTTCAGAGATTTCTACTGAAATGAACTGGTAGGGTTGTKGATTTTAAATGGCTGAAAACAGGTAAATCAGAACATTCAACTCCATATTTCTATGACTGAAACAGGCAGTCTTCTCACTGACTGCAGTGATAAAGAGCACCAGAGACCTCATCAGCTGTTTTTTTCTGTTGATTTTGTTTTTGAAGGTTGCTTGTTTGCTTGTGCTTTTTTTTCTATTCAATAGTGAAATCAGTGGTGATTTAACTTTGAAAGGTAAAGAAACCTCTACATCCTGAGCAAACTCCTCGTGTGCTCCCAAATTACCATGAAATCCCACTTTTATTCAAATTCAGATTTGCTTTCCACATAGCTGGGATAGACAAACAGGTCTTTAAACAGCAAACTGCATTTTGTACATACTCTCCAGTAAGAATCTTTAACCTGTGCTACTCCAAAACCTGTCMGTACCTTTTATCTTACATTTATACATACCAAAGTTCTGGTCCTCACTGACTCAGAAAGAGGAGGCAAATCCTGGTTTAGACTAATYCTTGCCATCATTCTCACCAACAGCTGTAGTCTTTTTCTATTTTCTGGTGGCAGCAGAAGACAAGATATCTGAAGAGCCTCTACGGCTTTGCTGGGTTTCTGCAGCAGTCCTGGTTTATAAGAGATCAGAAGGTTGGGCAGCATTTCTCAATTATACATTTCCATAACATTTAACATAATATTTCTAAACCTAATTCCCAAAATTCTTTTCTCATTTTCTCACTTTCTAAGATTGTCTTAGAACTCCACTCCCCAAAGAGACTAGAAAGATATCCCTAGAACTGCACTGCTAGGAGTGGATGGCTTTAAGTATTTTGATTTTCTTCTGATGCACTGGAAGACATTGACAGCCAAAATCAACAACTCTAAATATTAGTCTACATCAAAAACTACAATGTTTTAGTTCATTCTTTGCTCTTTTATTACCTCAGCACTAAACACAACTAAATATCAACAGATATAGCAATCATATTAAATAAAATGGCAAAAAGTCAGTGGCAACAATCAGAGGAAAAAATGTGCTTAGGCATCAATGACAACTATGACAATACCAAAATGTCCCTCACACCTATAGACACTAAATCTATGCCTAACTCTTCTTACAAACTTTGAGAAAACATTCCTGCCAGCATGGTAGAGATATATGAAGCCTGGACAGGCACAGTAGAATGTGATCATAGTTTAGGCATCTATAGAAACGTCTTATCACCAAAATACCATCTTATTTTAGGTTCATAAGACTCAGTAAAGGAAGCGTCTGTTACTATTTTGTCTTAACGGCACTAGTATTAGAACAAAAGTCAACAAAAAGAAACAAAATGTCTGCATGACTKAAATCTAGTAGTAATTTCTGTAAAAAAAAGGAACAACAAAGAAAGCAAACTAATTTTTTTCAAATGACTGTAGAAGAACCAAGAGATCTCTGGAGATTATATAGACCTCTTCACAAGCTCAAAGCAGGTTTATCAACAGGAATGTGCCCAGAACAATGTTCTGTCAGGTTTTGAATACCTCCAAACACAGAGAATCCACAGCCTCTCTGGTCAAATACTTCCACCGTTTGACCACCATCCAACTAAAAGGTTACTGTCCTTTGAGGTCTTCTGTGGTTCTGTTCCTGCCCTTTGCCTCTTGCCCTGTCATTACATATCACTCATAGAAGTCTGGCTTCTTTTTCTTTACTTCTCCCATATCAATCTTTTATACAGACTGATTAGATTCGCCATGAGCCTTCTTCTCTCCAGGTTAAACAGGAGATTTATTAGTTATTAGTCTCCTCCCACATGACAAATGTTCCAATAATTTTTGATTTGTTTCACTGGAGTCACTGACTAGTGCTGARGAAACATCTGCCTCAACCTGCCAGTAATGCACTTTAGGCAGTTACGGATACTRCTGATATTCTTTGCCTCAAGGACACACTTCTGGCTCATGGTCACATTAGTGTCCACCAGGACTTCCAAGTCCTCAGCAAACAGGCTTTCAAATCAGTTAAGCCCAGCATTTCCTAGTGCATGGAGAGGACCTGACATAYCCTTTTTTTCTGAATTTTATGAGATTCTTGTTTACCTATATGAGATTCTGCAGACACTCAAKGTCACTCTGCCTTCTGCTGCCTACTCTTCTCCATTTCGAAAATTGTCTGCATGCTTGTTTAGGGCACTGTGCCCTTGTTCACTACAAAATGAATGACGTTTAGTCATTAATGAAGTATTAACCATTACTGGCCTGGCTATCAGCCCTGGGGTGCTCCCGGCTGACTGACACTCAGCTGGACTTTGTGACATGGTCACAACCCTCTGCGCCCAGCAATTCCAATAAATTTTGAGTTTACTTCACTATCCACTTATCCAACCTGTACCTCCTCAGGTTACCTATAAGAATGCAATGGAAGACAGTGTTGAAAGCTTTACTGCTCTCAACAAAAATTGTATCCACTGTTATGCCCTCATCCACAACTTTAGTCAATTCCACCTTGTAAAAATAGCTAACTGTTTCTTACTGAAAAAGAAACATTTGGTAGTAAACAAGGCAGTCAAAAGAGACAGTATTCCAAGGAGAGGGGTAAAGCACTGAAGTTAATTTTCATAGGAAAGCTTCTTCTAATTTCAAAGGAAGATTTGGCAAGCATATTAGTGTATATGTATAGAAGAGTAAGGAATGATTCCATATCAACACCTCTATTTTTTTAAAAAAAGATACTACAAAATTAATGTTTGACTTCTTGAAATTTTGCACGGTTTTCRTTGATTTCCACATACACACTGGCATGAAATCTTTGTTCTAAATTTACGTTTAGGAAATACTGTGAAATAAAACTAGTAAAACATGAAACATAAATAACAATGGAAAAGCAAACAGAAATAGAGTATGAAAGCAGAAGAACAAGTTTTAAAGATGTCAACAAGATTTATCTAAGAACAAGAAGTTAAAAATGGATCTATGTTTAATACGAAGCAAGATTAATATTTTTATATTTTGTTAGTTGACAAATTCCAGAAACAGAAGTGTTATTCTGGATTACTTTTTCATCTYAATAGTTTACCAAAACCAATGTTGTTCACACAGAAAGAAGCTCAAAAAACTAACATGCTGCAAAGCATGCTTACTTTTCAACTCAATTGTTCTTTCTGACATTCAATTAAAATTCCCATTTACTTGCTATCTTTCAGTAAGCCATCTATAGGACCAAAATTATTGATTTTAACATCATGTGAACCTCTGGAAAGTTATAGTTAATAACTAAACCATTGCTTCTTTAAAGCACTATGTTAGTTAATGTCATTTCTAAATGTAAGCAACTAAGGATTTCAATTTTCTTCAGATGTCATAATCCCAGGGTTAAAAACAATGCTTAAAGCCTTAATCCTTTCTAATCTAGACTTCAGTAAAGCAATTTCTAAAAGCTTATGAGAGTTTTTAAGACATTTAAGCATTTGTAAAAAAAGAAAAATCTGTTAAAATCCATCTGTTAGATGCTGAGCAATGAACAGTGACCTTTAATATTATGAAGACAAGCAATGGAAGATTTCTGATCTAATGTGATCAAAAARATACAAAAATAAAACCACCATGTGATATGAAATAAGTTTAAATATTATACTGTTCCCTATGTAGACCAGAAAGGGACAGGTCCTAAAGAATTCAGCTGTGATAGKATTTAGGTAAGGTAAAATAACTCTAGGAAATTAAAGAATTGTTTTTTTTATTACCTCCAAACTACTTACCCAACACACTAACAAAAACATCAAAAAAATGAAATGTGAGAAGAGGTTCTTTCATCTGGCCAAAGTAGTCCACTATAGTTTTGAAGACATCTCTTTCAAAGCCTGAGTAAGTAGGCTGCTTCAAATCTGAGCAGCTGGGCCCTACAAAGAACAAAACAAAACTGAGCAAAAAAAGAGAGAGACYGTTGATTTTCAGCCACTAAGCAGATCAGTATATTCTAATCCAGCCCATTAAAGTGGATCATTATAGAAAAAAAAACCATTTTAAAAGGACTCATTCTTCAAAATAAGAGAAATTTTTTGTTTTGCTGGATTAATCTATTCCCAACAGGTCTAGGGAAGACATATAGTAGAGGAAAAACACTAACAGAATAGTTAATATATTTATATTTCCCATTTAAATAAGATGTTCTGGACAGAAAACACATGCTGGCAGGTCTTCTCCAATTTTGTTTTAGGCAATGATCATAAATACTGRAGGTGAATATAAACAGGATTTAATGAAGGGCTGAAGACCCAGTCAGTTCAACTGATTTTTTGGGGGATGGGCTGTTTGTGGGATCTTTTGTCCCCTTCTGAATTTACTTACAGTTTGCTAGACATTTCATTGCAGATAATATCCAATGAGGTAGCTCCTCTTCATAGGGAAGAAACAAAATTAAAGAAGAAGAAAAAAAGAAAAATATTCAGCTGAAAGACAAAAGCAAAGCTGAAAACACTTTCACATGTTCCTCCTGCATAGTAAATCAACTGATTCCAGAGGCAGGCTATACCTTAATGCAGGATCTAGCTTGAACTATGCCTATACTTCAGTACCTCCAGTACTATCAGTTATGCATTCTGCTCTTGCCGCTCAGTTAGCAAAACAGATCATATCACAAATCTTTAACCTACTCTGAAAAAAAATCAGATTAACTAGTTCAAGCTACACCCTTCACCAGGGCTATAAAGTGTAGTGTTCACCTTGCATTAAAAGTGATGAAAAGTGCTCATATATTCAGTTTTGTCATTTCTGCAASGAGGAAGTTAATATTCTGAGGTGCTCCAATTGCCTTTAAAGTGAACACAGATATGCTCTGAAGGCAGTTTCACAACCAAACAAAGTTTCCATATTGTATTCAATTTCTCTACAAATCTTATGAAAAACATGGAGGCAATAATATTGCAAAATATCAGAGCAGCAAAGAGTCTTTATTTTCTCCCTGATATGCAAAACAGTTTTAAACATGGTACTATCTTCAAAATACATAGACTGAAAATTCAAAACTCTTTCTTTATGTATATTTTGACTCTCCCAAAATTTTTAATACATTTTTTCTTCAGGTAAACACTCTAGTACAAGCAGTTAAAAGGGCAGCGCTGTGAAAGTGACCCTGAAGTAAATAACACCCCTATATTTATAAATGGTGAAAAGTTGTTGCTGGTTCATTTTTCAGCCCTACTAAAGCCAAAATGTGCTTAAGAGAGTAAATATATAATAAATCCTGACTCTTATTATTGGGATGTCAGAGGAGAACAATAGCATTTTACATTGCAAAAGCTCGAGTTTTTATAGATGTGGTCACACAAGCAGAAAGATGCTACAGGTTAGTGTGGACTAGAACTAATATTTTATCTTAGTTGATTACAATATAAAAAAAAATTAATATTTCTAAAATACTCACTTGATTTGTCTTCTAAAGTGACAATGCCTTGCTTATTGACATTGTATACATTTTGAACTATATGTTTTGAATTCACAAGTTTTGTGTCTAACACTTCATCGAGAGAATCCAAACCCAAGACCTTTTGTAATCTGCAAAAATACATAAACACRTAGTTCATACATCATCTAATCTGGAAAAAGCAAACATGAACTATTAGGATATAATTTGGAAAAAACAAGAGATGTCCATTTTATAGAGAACATGTCCAGTTCAATGGCAGCCATAAGGATGATTGAGTGCAACTAAACCRTATAACTAAAAGCACTGCCTACTCGTTCCTTGAACTCTGTCAAGCTTGGTGCTGTGACCACTTCCTTGGGGAGGCTGTTCCAGTGCCCAGTCACCCTCTGAATGAAGAATCTTTTCCTAATGTAGAGTCTGAACTTCCCCTGACACAGCTTGATTCCATCTCTGGTGTCTGGGACACCAGAGATCTCCCACATCTCCCCCCACTGCCTCCCTGGAAGTTTAGGCTGCAATGAGGTGACCCCTCAGCTTTCTCAAAGCTTTTGGTGACTGTACAGCGATTTACTCTATTCAGACCTCRCTGCAGGCCCTCTCTCCCCATGAAGGAGTCCAAAGCTCCTCCTAACTTATTATCAYTGGCAAACTTAATGTACATTCAATTCCTCCATCCAGATCATTTACACAAATATGAAAGAGCATCCACCCTAGAACAGAGCCCTGCAGAGCCCCACTGATGACTGCTAACCAACCTGAGGTAGCCACACTTACTACAACCCTTTGTGTCTAACTCATGAGCCAGCTGGTCTCCCAGCAATACTATGGACTCATCTGGCTGCATGCTGGATAATTTACCTAGGATACTGCATGAGACAGTATCAAAGCCACATCAAGTGGCTTTCCTTGGTTAACAGGATAGGTGACYTTATCATAAAAGGAAATTGAATTGGTTAAGCAGTAGTTTTCCCTACAGAAATTGTGCTGGCTATGACCAATGACAGTGTGTCTCTCAAATAATCTTTTCCATAATTTTACAGGCAATGAAGTGAGACTGACAAGCCTGTAATTACCAGGGTCTTTGTTCTTTGCCTTCTTAAATCTTGAGAAAATATTTGCCAGCTTCCAGACAACTGGGACCTCTCCAGACTCCCAAGATAAATGAATAAAAAGGAGAAAGATCCTGCAATAATATCATCCAGCTCTTTCAGTATGCTGGGATGAATCCCACTGGACTTCACAGATTTAAGTGCATCCAGCTGGAGCAGAAAGTTTCAAACAAATTCAGGGTCAGCTTCAAGTCTCCCTATTCCCACAGTCATACTCTTCCCATACTACTCCCATACAGAGCTCTGGGAGTCTCAGTGTCCATTATCAATGCCAGAGAGGCCATGGCTTTCTGCCAGGTGAATAGCATTTCTCCCTCATCAAGCTGGCAGGGTTTYAGTACCCTTCCACACAATCTGCTGTGCCAACCCTGTTTGCCACTCTGAHCCCTTAGTTGCTAGAGCTCCATAGGGGCCTTTATGTGAAGCAGGGGCTTGGCCATCATTGCCCCTGGTCCCACTGCCTAGGTCCTGTCAGCTGCTACCATGTGGGTTCCAGGTTAGTGGATGGTCTGGGTGTCTCCACTCCCCTGAGATTTTCTCAGCTCAGGAAAACTGTTCAGTGCAGTGCACAGCACTAAAACACTTATGCTGTCACCAAAGCTTCTTGCCTCAGCACTGAGTACACTACATGCAAATAAGGYACTAGGCTTACACTAAAGTGATCATGAGCAAGATCTCAACTACACTGTAATATCAGCTAATGTTCTTTTTTCCTCTGCAGAAATTGTCCAAAGCAATAACTTTAATTTTGCATAGGGTATTCCTTTTGAGTGTAGTAAAGAATATTTGAATCTCAAATCCTTCAGCACTCAATTTAGTTCACAAAAAGTTTTGTACTTGGCATTGAAAGGTTTCACAGCACTTCTACATAAGAGCTTGTATTTCATAGCAACAAGARAAAGAAAACAGAGAAAAAAGTGATTAAACAAGACAAAGCCCACACAACAAAGACTTGTATAACACAACAAGAAAAAGTCAAAAGGTACTAAGCACAATAAAGTTTTTTTGCAGACTTGATTTGCCGGAAATTGTTAGCCAAACAACAAGTGGTAGAGTTAGTCTAGACACTAWGGCTTTGAAGGCAGTGATGAAAAGCGAGTGGGTGAAATTACAAGCATTACCAGAGAAGACAGAGAAGACTATTACCCACTACACAGTTTTACTATAACAGCAAATGACTCACAAGAATGCTCACCGTGACAAAGTCATAGATTTCCATATCACTTCTATATTTGTTTGCGTTAGCTCTCTGCGGAATACAACTTTGCATGCCGGTACTTCCCCGATAGCTATACTGTGTCGCTTGTACCACATCTCAGAGTTCTGAAATCAGAAAAAGCTCTCCTTATTAACTGGTGACGTTTCAAGTGTTAAATGGCATAAAATATTTATAGTACAGCATTTCAAGTGTTCCTAAATTCCAGTAAAGTCTTCAGGATGCAAGTAAGTGTTTGTGTTTCAGAGAAATAAAAACTTTTCTCAGTCTCRTATACACATCTTTTCTCAATTCCACAACTTGTCCAAAACTTAAAAATTATATGGGTCAGAATAGCCATTAAAGTTCAGGAGTCAATGGCCTTCAATCCTATGTTCAGGTCCTATCCATGATTAAAATCAGTTCATCTGCCATTTTAAGATTAAAKATCTGCCTATTGAAGTTATTGGAGAATTATTAGATGAGATACCAAAAAATTAGAAACAATTCATCCTTGTTCAGAAGATACTGAAAAAAACTAAACATTAATTTCATTAACAGGTCTATACATAAAGTAAAAGCAAATAACCACATCTGAAGGCACCCATTGGATCTTGTTCACCATTGTAAGAGTGCAAACTAAAGCTGAGAATGTAGAAGGCCACAATCTTTTTTGAAACCTTCACATCCAAGCTTGATGCTTGAAGATTGTCATCAAGGTGTCAATGAGTGGACATACAATGCTGCTTGTATCAGCAGGATTCTTTTCAAGGCAAAACTCCTAATCATTCCTGTTCTTTGAYTTACACAACAGAGCAGTGCTAACGAACAAGTGTTCCTTGTAATCACAACCGAACCACAAAATGCACTCCAGGAATGCACTTAATTACTCCAAGCACTAATTGTCTGTCATTCCATGGCAGATGAGACTAGAGCTAGTTGGAAGAAAACAGCACCCTCTGAAATTAAGTCTGGTCTTCCCTATCAGTATTTCCTGACACAGACCCATGCTCATCAATCCACACATAGCCAGTAAGTGCTCAGATTGATGCTGAAGCARTTCAAGGTACCACATTTTCAGCTGCCTCCTTCAGCATTCCAGTGGAAGTGACGTAATTATAAAAGAGGCAGCAAAACAAGCTTATACATTTGCCTCAGTTACTTCCACTTATGGTCCACTGTATTAACCCAAACTGCCAATGGAAGATATTTTGAGCTATGCCAAACTACGTAGGAGAAACAACAGTAAAGATCTACTTCCTATTTTAACAACTTTATTTCACATGAGTTTAAAAARAATATATATGGCATTTAATTTTATAATCAAGTATTTTGTGACACAGTACAGAGATTATTAGTTCAGTTTTGTTTTCCAAATCTTTTTTCTGGGGAAATAAAAACTGGGTGCCTTACCATTGTGACAGATTTCACTGTGATGCATTCTTGAGAAGTGCCASCCTTTGGTTCATTCCAGTCTGGAAATTTAATTACTTCCTTTCCACATGAAGCCTTCTTTGGGTATGATTTCAGTGGTGAGGAAGGAGGAAATCTACAATTAGAGAAGATCTTRAAGCCTCGAAATGCCAACATATTCATATTTACCAATACAAAACTGCAGTCAGCCTTCACATGCAAAAATAAAACAAATACTTTGGACATTCACAGTGCAGCTTAGCTCCCYAAAGACTGGTGTTACAAGACATGTAAAAACATCATGAAGTGACTTGTTTGGCCTCCAGCTGCTGCTTCAGAGCAGTTTGGGTCCTTTGTACCTCCCAAGATATAGCTGAGCCTTGGGTGAATGTCTGGTATCCCAGTGCACATCAAATAGCAGGTGTCTCTGCACAGACAATGACTTAGGTGCTCACTAAAAGACATTGATTGTGCTGAAAAAGCTGTGGGTMTGTTTTACCCCATGTCAACAAGAGTGTTGTTAGCATGCATTTCCTAAAGCAATGTGCATAGCTAAGTCATATGACTAACGCTCAGATTTAGTTAGAGTGCGTGCAAGTGTTCACAAGAAGTTTTGTCCATATTACCATTCTGTATTTACATGCTTTCTGTGCGAAGATCATATCCCGCAGTTCTTTTCTGAAGTCTTTTTCTAGCTCGTTTTGCCGGTAACTATTTGACTTCTTAAGGCATTTCTAGAAGTGCCTTGAAGAAATTAGCAGAAATAAGCCCTAAACCAGCCCTTGTAGAAAAGAAGGAAAACAAACTATCCAGCTTGATCAGCATCAAATTACTCTGAAGCTTAGGTCAGAGCACGTACAAAGAAATTAATGACAGCATATCAGAAAGCCAAATCAGTTAGATGACAACACCTCTTTAGACTGGCCCAGATTCAATCTCCTCTCCTTTCACTCCCAAGTTTTAGATGTTGAGATCCCTGATGTTTCAAGAAACTGTTTAAACCTCACTCATTCCTTTAAATCAGAATGTAAAGATATGTCCGTGACTTTGCAACAACAGCTTGTACACTGCTGGATAGCRTGCATATGTATCCTAGCAGAAAGACATGCCTGAGAAATTCTCAAGTTTCTCCAAAATGTCACCCTAACCTCTAAAGGCATTTCAAACATTTAATTAGTTTATTTAAATTTGTATTGCAGTTTGTTTGGTCCAGTACTGTTATGCTGCATGGGTTAAACACATTGATTGTTCTGACCACACAGAATGCTCTGAGCACATTCCTTGGTGCTGTTCAACAGCATGCYTGCAACACAAAGATACCACTTCCATCAGACAACCCTGGGAAATAGCAGCAAGCACCTCACACTAATCCTGCAAGATTTACTCTGTTTTTTAAAAGTAAGACAGATTAGATGGAAGATGATCAGCTGTTGTGTGATCTCAACCCTTTTTCAGATATTCATTATTTCTTAAGAGTTTAATGTTAAAATACCCACATATCTGCAGCCTTTTTCCTTTGCATTACACTATTCTCAGCAGTTTTCTGTTTCTCCTCCAGTTCTTCAAAATTTTTAGCTTTGTGTCATTTGGTGCTCCAATTCACAACCAACCAATAAAAGAATAAGTTCTCACAAGCAGAAAAAGGAGGTGCATTACCTTTTCTCAGGTAGCATTACAGCAAGATCTAGACAGAGACAGATTAACATTATTCAAAGTGAGGAACTGAGGAGCATCCCAAGGCTGACACATAAAGACCAGAATTGCTTATAGCCAGCAACAATAGTTTTAGGAGTTTATGAAAAGAGGAATTAGAGATACCTGCTTGTATACAGACCAAAGGGTACAGAACAAGGTCAACTAACATTGATGTCCACAGTATAACAACTATTACTGCTGAATTCCCAGAAGATTGCTATCAGTGCAAGAGTACTAACCCTTTTTAATACAATGGCTACAAAAAAAAAAAAAAAAAATTCAAGCACAAGAGCTACCAAAACTGTAACTTCTTATTCATTATTGTAGACTCAACTGAGCCAGTGAGTCAGAACATAGATAAGTCTTCGCTGGTTTTAGAAGTCACATTAGAACTCATCTTCACATTCCATACTTGGCAGCAAATCAACATTTGGCAACATTTCTTTTGCATTATCTGTGGATGAACAAATGTGGACAGCTACACTTACATGTGAAGTCAACGAATGACACAACCGTGCACCACAACGTACATTAAATTAACACATAAATTTATAGAAAAAGTATGAAGCATGTCAATATTTCTAGAGTAAGCACTGTCAGTACGATTGACTTATACTACTACCACTGTCAGCACTGTCTGGAGGAAAAAAAAACCTTATTTTAAATGTAACATTAGGGAAGTCCACCAGAGGGAGCTGCCAGGACATTGAATACATGAACAAAACAGGCTCAAAAAAACAATGCTTAGCTACTTAAATAGGAGAGAAGCGTGTTTTGATAGGGGAAGCCATGAGTAACATACATAGATAATTTACGCACCAAACCCAGTGAGGATAAAAGCTGAGGAAAAAAGTTCAAGATGCATGAAAGATATGCAGTTTTAATTTAAAAAAATGTTTAATTTTAAAAAATAATGTAGTAACTTAGCCATGTTTTCAACAGGAGGTAGAGAAAGAACATCACAACAAAATAGGTAACAAAAGAGTTCTCTTGTCCAGTAGCAGATCATTAGGCAGAGCAGGCAGAAAATTAAGAGAAATATTTCAGCCAGCTAACTTTCACAGCCTGCAGCTCAGTAAAGCCATAAAAATTTTTTATTTCCTGAAAATACCAGGGAATAAAAGAACAAAATAATTTGAATGTGTCCTCATGCTAATGCAAAATAACCAAACAAAAAATCCCAGAGCCACACAAACACGACAAAACCAAACCAAAGAGGCACAGCCTAACACTAGTAGTTACCAAAACCCATATTAAATCTTTTSATAAGAATTAATACCCAGAAAAAGTAAAAGAGAAATATGACAAAATGAAAAATTGACTCTAAACATAGATAACACTGAATTCCCACTTGCTATTTTCCCAAAGAGAATATTAAAAAATCATCACCTAAAAATATGTAAAATTTATGTAATAATAATGATAACAAGCAGAAGCATGAACTTACTGTTAATCTATTTTCCCTAATGTTTTACRTGAAGGTAACTCCCATTTCCTCAAAAGAAGGCTTACCATGACAAAAATCACAAATCCATACATAAAGTAGTGGTCATCTTTATAATAATTTTGCACTAAACATGACACTATAACATGGTGTTATAAAATTCAGAACCTGCAATTTCTGGAGACCCAAACCTTAACTGAGGTCCCAAGAGGTCAAATAATCCAGTCCAGTAATGCTAAGCTTTTGTTACAAAGAAAATCTTTTCCTCTATTAAGGAGCCATCAGTTGAGATGCTAAACAGGGATAAGTAAGCAATTCTCCTCGAGGATAAGCAAACAAAGTTTTGTCTCTTATCAGTCTAAAAAGCAAGGAGCATAAAAAAAGRTCACATCATTATTTCGATTCAGAAGGTTTTTCTCTTCTCTGAGGAGAAACAGAAACCAAAAAAGTCGTCAGGGGACTCGGGGAGAAGGAGGACAATTGGAGCTGGATGATCAACGGCATTCTCACGTCCACCTATGTGACTTGATATGCACTCTTAACATCGACAAACCTGATGTCTGCTATCAGCAATCAGAACACGACACCTTGTGAAAGCTGCAAACGCTTTTGTTGAAATTCAAAGAATGTATAAAAATATTTTAAATCAGACAAAACTGAAGTCAAACATTAAATCATGAGTTACGCATTACTAAGAAAACTAAAGTCTTTACGAGAGAGGGAAACACATCAACACCTTTTCAGAGGCATTCTACAAAACTAYTTGTAAGACATGAGCAAGAGTTAGAACACCCTGTTTCCAAAAAACCGAAATTTTTCAATCACCATATTACAGACTAACCGATATAAATGGCCATCGTCTTCAAAGTCCTCTTTACCCCACCTTCCTTTAATATCTTCGATTACATGATTTTTCAGGAATTTTTTAAGCAGCTTAACCGTTTGATCGCGAGTCACTTCCGGGCCAAAGTTTTGGTTAGAACCAAGTAACTCATGCAAACAGTCCACTGCGTCCGACGCTTTAAAGCAACGCTCGTAGCTCTTGAAACGACAGCGATGCTTCCGTAAGGGCATCCCAGCACGGAACAGCTCTATTATTTCATTCCACTGGGGAAGGAGAACAAAGCAAATCGTTACGGGAGCTCTTCCCCCAGAAGTTTCTCTTCCGCAACGCGATCAGAATGCAGCCAGCTCTGCAAGCAGAACTACAAACTTTTTTAGACCATCTGCATTTASCAGAACATCGAAATCTCGGCGCAGGATTTAAACCGCCGAGAACAAACACCARGTTTAGGAAGCTGTTATATGGACAGGTGCTATACTACTGCGGATCTACACATTCGGCTTTAACCTCCCTTAGGTGTCACTGGGACAAAAGGATAAAGCTGCCGCTCCGCCTGGCCGGGCTCTGCGCTGCGCTGCGCCAGCCTCGGGAGAGAGASAGAGAGCCGGCCTGAGAGCACCGGCGGTACTCAGCAGGGCCGAGAGCGAGTGCCGGGCGGGCACAGAGGAGCAGGCGGGCGGCAGTGCGGGGATGGGACACTCACCAGGCGGGTGGCGCGGTACGGCCCGGGCCCCACCAGCCGCGGCTCCATGGGCTCCGTGCCGCGTTTGAATSCGCCACGGCCGCCGCCGCCTTCGCTCATTGGGTGCTGGGCACGCACGTGACGCGGCCGCTCGGCCCTTGATTGGCGGGGCGGGCGGCCCCGGCGGGACGCGGCCGTGAGGGAGGCGCTGCTGGCGCTGGCTCGGCGGGCGGGGCTCTCGCCACAACGTGAGGGGCTCAGCGTCGGTGTGTGTAAACWGCTCATGGGACGGGCAACGGGGCTGGTGCACAGCTGTAGGACAAGAGACAACGGGCAGAACCTGATGCACAGGAAGTTCTCCCTGAACATGAGGAAAACCTTCACTGTGTGGATACTGTGCACTGGAAGAGATTGCCCGGAGAGATGGTGTAGTCTCCCTCATGGAGATACTGCAGAACCATCCGGACTCACTCCTGTGCCATGAGCTCTGGTATAGCCCTGCTTTAGCAGAGAGCTTGGACCAGATGACCCACTGTGGTCCCTTCCAGCCCCACCATCCTGTGATTCTGTGTGTGTCAATAGGTTAAACCACGTCAGAAAAACATTGGCCTGCCAATCGCTGCCCCAATAAAGAGAGCACAGCCTTGGCGTTAATGAAACAAACTAAAAATTAAACCAAAGAAACCTTCCAAACCAACACTTTTCAATGTTTTTAAATTGTTTCTAATCATTTTTTTTCCCCAAGAATTTTGTTTTGAATTCAGGCAGTGTGTGGGATGATAATTACTTGCAATTACATTTTTTATTATTCCTGCAGAAGAGAGGGGTTGATGCTGGTGCCACAGAGCTCATTGAGTTGTACATTAGCTTTTAGCGAGCATTTCAAAGGAATGTGATTTGGAAAGCAGATAGGAAACCTCCATTTTAAGGTAGGAGATTCGGGTACATCCTGCAGGGGTAGGGATGTAACTGAAACTCCTTCAATACCTGCTGCAGATAAGCTATSTCTGACAATTTTTACGGCTCTTACAGAGAGTAGTTGATGGTAACACCAATATTTCTTCTCCGTCAGGTGTGAGGGAAAAAAATTTAACCCCATTCTCCTCATTGTCAGYAAACATTCATCATATCATGGATGAYTTAGCTGACTGTGGCACTCCTCTTTCTAGCCTAACTCAAAAGTATAAACTTAAGTGTGTGAGATGCACTTACTAGGTCCAGGTAAAAATTGTGTGATTCTTACTTTGTGTGCAGAAGGACAGGATTTTTTTTTGAGCTGACGTTACACTATATATGCRTCCTCTTAGGCTGCATCCATACAACTCACAGAAACAATTTTCTCTTTATCCAAATAACTTCATAACTCACAGAAAACAAAAACACTGTGCAAGAAATTATGCAGCAGKAATCTGACACAGCACTTGCTGACAGCCCACAGAATGATTAGCATCTCCAGTTTCTGCTCCTGCTTATTAGTTTTTAATCTCAAACAACTGACTCTGGAAGCCTTTGGATAGTGTACAGCTGCTGGCTCCTTTCTGTTCTGCACCTATCCACATGCAGCATTCCTTAGTTTTGACTGTGCATAGTCTCAGCTCCTACTTAAGCCCAAGTGAGTTTGAAAACAAACAAGTATCTTTCCCTTCTACTCAGCTGCAGGATACATTCCTCCATCCATATTTATGGGACAGGGAAGGAGATTATGATTGCAAAATCAGGGACCAGAACTAGGACTTCTGATACCAGCACAGAAATCATCTGCAAGGCTATAGAGTAATGCCTGCTTCCTTACACAAGAATCAGTGGGTACTATCATCCAGTTTTCACTACAGACTAGCTATTACAGCCTGTCCCTCAAAGGACCTGCCTTTCCCAAAYATGTTTGAATGTGCAGGATTAAGAAGGCCTGAAAGAACCCAACTGTCCCACTTCCTTCATCAGTACTTACGTAATAATTATTTCTTTTTTTTTTAGAAAAGGAACATTTTAAAAATCAAACAGGCAAATCCTTTCCTGCTATTTGGAAAAAAAAAAAAAAAATAGGTTTCTGTCCTTAAGTCAAGGCCCCCTAACATATGTATCCCCAAGGGCATACATATGGGCCAAAGGTTGGCTGGACTTGAGTACTTTGAGTGATGGACWTCATTTCCCACTGAAAAGAGTTGTGGTCCCTGATCAGCACCACAGCTGCTTAGGATCTTGTGATAAAGCACCTCTCCACATGAACTGCCAGGGAGCTGGGAACTCAGCACTGATCATTCTAGGATCAAGCATCTGAAATTCAGGGGTTGCAATTTAGAGCTCAAGTCATCCCAATACTTTCTGAGATCTACTTTCAAGCTCCTATGAGAGCTGACAGCTACAGGGATTAAATAGTGAAAAGATAAAATACAAATTATTTTTTATTTGTTTTATTAAGAAGACTTGATGTATTCTCCAAAGAAAACATTTGCAACTCATGCCCAACCTAGAATTTACATTCCTTTAGGATTTACAATTCACCATAAATGCCAGTAAAATAAAACTGCTCAGGTAACAAAACTTTCTCTCTTGGAACTGTGCAATAGGGAGGCTATTAAAATCTCCCCCCAGCTATGAGTATATGAATATCCCACAGATCAGATGAAGTAAAAAGCAAATATTGCAAGCTTCTTTTCTTTAGTGTTGTAGAAAACACTATTTTTAATGGTAATGTGAATCTAAACACATAACTCCTTATTTTCAAGTCTGTTGTGTGCACCAATTCTTTAATAAACTCATGCAGTTCAAATGCAACTTACATACATAAAGCCAGTGCTTTTGATTTCTACACACATATGACCCTAGCAATCTGCCTAACCTTGGAAAACAACATACTGGTTAATTCTACACAGACTGGAGCCATGCCCAATCATCACTGCCTGCCCCACTTTCAGAAGCTCAGAGAATGTCACATATTTTTTTGCCTGGGTCCAGRCCAAGTAACTTGAGTAACTGTAACCTTGAGTTGATAAAAACAAGACATAATAATAAAAAAAAACAAAGTGACACAAACTGTTTCTAGGCATGTATTTTCAATAGGTAATAGAAATRGAAGAAACTAGAGCACAACATAATCTTAGTGGGCAACATTTAAGCTTTAGATCAAAAAAAATTTATTTTTACATTTTATTGGAGTACTAAGATTTTGGCTATTGAATTAAAATACTCCATATTCACCCTAGCCCCCCTTCACAAGCAGCACAAGCTACCAATATAAAGTATATCCATAGACACATTGAATAATAAGTATATTTGGCTACTACAGTGAACAAATCAGTAAGATGTTTTGATCACTATGCTACAAGACAATTCAGATAATCCCCATATTAGTAGCATTCCAACATTTACGGTAATGTTCAACTGAGTAGAACATGAAATGAATTCTAAGTTCTCTTAGTAAAACACAGTATATCCAAAAATCTGTGTTCTTCAAATGAAACGCTACGTCTTGACAGATTAACACACAGTCCTTCCTTTAAAGCAATATAGTTTACAAACAGATGTAACAATGATTATGTATTAATATATTAATATGCCTTAGCTTCTATAAACAGTACCTACTGAAGATTCATTCTTATAATAAAATGCAGCTGACAGTCTTAGCAACTTATATTTAAAGTGAAGTAATTTTTATCCCCCTCAGTGTTCAAAGTACTCAGTACTTGTCATACACATTTTTATTTTTTCCAATTATTCACTTTATTTTTGTGTATTTTCTAGATAGAGATAATCTATCTTGTTTAATTTTTTTTTTTTTTTTGAATCAGAGATCCATAGTATTTGCCAGCTCCCATGTTCTGACTCCCAAATAACTTACAGTAAAAATACAAATTCTGTTTTGGAAGAAAACATACAAAATATACACCATGTAGTGTGCGCACCTAAACATCTTGATTGTCAAGTAGTGCAAGTTTCCCCTTTGACATATACACTTTTTTGGTTTTACAGGCAAGAATTTGTTTCACTGATCTTTGTTGATGCCATTTCTTGCCATCTTTGGCAGTCTTTGTCCCTTCGTGTAAGCGTGGTACCAGAAGTGGAGAAACAAGATTAAAAACAAAGAGCCATAAAGCCAAATGATAAACATGAAAATTGGATACTGGTATGGACAATCATCCATGATGTAGATTTGTCCTATATGGACTGTAATCATAAGAAACTGGACCTGTAGGAAAAAGGTGAAGAAAATAAGTACTTTTAAAATAAATTACAAACTTTCTACAGAAGTTTAAAAAAATAGYTTGTATGCAGAAAAATACATAGCATGGGTAGAAGGGGGGGAACACCAATACAGCTTCTAAATATGATAGACATGCACCTTTATAGCCCCTCTGAAAATATTTACTCCACCGAAAAACAATTTTGCATCATAAAGGAAGAGAAGCTCCTTTATGATGTTCCTTGATGAACAAACTGAGAAACTCTTAGTAAGAGAATGGAATTCTGCCCTGGCCAGTTCAGATAAAAAGGAAAGAGGCAGACTGTCTRGTGGCAAATGGGAGGCTCCTTTAGAAAAATTAGCCAGGAAAAAAAAGAAAACCATTACAAGGTTGGGGAACAAGAATTCCCACCTTTCCTGCACATAAGCATGTGACAAAAAGATACTCCACATAAACTCCAAGTTAGTAGTCCATTGGTAGAGCCTCTGAGTCAAAAAGGCCAGGTTATAAATATTCAAGCTACATTGCTCAGAGTTGCACGTGGTTACATTAACACCAGCCCTGGTGCAAGCAGACGGGGAGCTCATTTCCCTCCTCTCTCCGTGGTCATAAGTCACTTGTTTGCCCAATTTTGAAAATCCATCCATTAAAAAAGATGGGCATGAAAAAGCACCCAGAACAGTAACCTTTTGAAAGTGACTTGAAGCTGATAAAACACTTAATATCATTACTGCAAGAKTGGTTTTAATGCTCTGGATTGGAGAGAGGTAAATTTTCTAAATACAAAAACTTTCTATGAACAAACAGACATGAAATTCTAAAGAAACACCTTTTCCCTTTTCTCTCAACATATTACAAGTAGTTACTAGTTACATCTGTATTCTGTACATTAGTTGTATTTTCTTGGTGTAAACTTACATTTAAATAATCT